GGGAAACGGTGGGGGCGAGGGGCCTGTCTGGTTTTAAGATTAAGTTAGATAAGTTTATGGAGGGAATGGTTTAATGGAAATACATGATTCTAGCCAAAGGAATACCGAGCCATGGCAGGTAAATAATATAATGGCTAACAAGGGTCAGGCTGGAGACTCTTGCCTACATGCTCGGGGTTTTACTGATCGCCATATTTGGGGTCGGGAAGGAATTTTCCTACAGGGTAGATTGGCAGAGGCCCTGGAGGTTTTTCGCCTTTCTCCGCAGCATGGGGCAGGGATCTCTAGCAGGAGGGTTCTCTGCCAATTGAAGTCACTAAGCCACAGGATTTGGGGACTTCAACAGTAGAGTCAAGGGAAGGGGTAGGGACGGCTTTGTGGCCTGCAGCATGCAGGGGGTCAGACCAGATGATCATAATGGTCCCTTCTGACCTTAAAGTCTATGAGTCTATGAGTCTATATCCACAGAGCCAGTTATCTCATCATAGAAAGCAATCAGGTTGGTCAGGCATGACTTGCCCCTGGTGAATCCATGTTGACTGTTCCTGATCACCTTTCTCTCCTCCAAGTGCTTCAAAATGGACTCTTTGAGGACCTGCTCCATGATTTTTCCAGGGACTGAGGTGAGGCTGACCAGTCTATAGTTCCCCGGGTTCTCCTTCTTCCCTTTTTTAAAGATGAGCACTATATTTGCCTTTTTCCAATCATCTGGGACCTTCCCCGATCACCACGAATTTTCAAAGATAATGGCCAGTGGCTCTGCAATCACATCAGCCAATTCCCTCAGCACCTTCAGATGCATTAGATCCAGACCCATGGACTTGTGCATGTCCAGCTTTTCTAAACAGTCCTTAACCTGTTCTTTCACCATTGAGGGCTAATCACCTCCTCCCCATACTGTGTTGCCCAGGACAGCAGTGTGGGAGCTGACCTTGTCTGTGAAGACCAAGGCAAAAAAGCATTGAGTACTTCAGCTTTTTCCATGTCATCTGTCACTATGTTGCATCCCCCATTCAGTAAGGGTCCCACACTTTCCCTGACCTTTTTCTTGTTGCTACCATACCTGTAGAAACCCTTCTTGTTACCCTTCACATCCCTTGCTAGCTGCAACTCCAATTGTGCTTTGGCCTTCCTGATTACACTCCTGCATGCTCTAGCAATATTTTTATGCTCCTCCTCCTGACCAAGTTTCCACTTCTTGTAAGCTTCCTTTTTGTGTTTAAGCTCATCGAAGATTTCTCTGTTAAGCCAAGCTGGTCGCCTGCCATATTTACTATTCTTTCTGCACATTGGGATGGTTTGTTCCTGCGCCCTCAATAAGGCTTCTTTAAAATGCAGCCAGCTCTCCTGGACTCCTTTCCCCCTCATATTAGCCTCCCAGGGGATCCTGCCCATCAGTTCCCTAAGTGAGTCAAAGTCTGCTTTTCTGAAGTCCAGGGTCTGTATTTTGCTACTCTCCTTTCTTCCTTTTGTGAGCATCCTGAACTCAACCATCTCATAGTCACTGCTGCCCAGGTTGCCACCCACTTCTACTTCCCCTACCAATTCTTCCCTGTACGTTAGCAGCAGGTCAAGAGGAAAATGACCCCTGGTTGGTTCCTCCAGCACTTGCACCAGGAAGTTGTCCCCAACACTCTCCAAAATCTTCCTGGATTGACTGTGCATTGTTGTATTACTCTCCCAGCAGATGTCAAGGTGATTGAAGTCCCCTGTTAGAACCAGGGTCCATGTTCTGGAAACTTCAGTTAATTGTCCGAAGAAAGCCTCGTCTACCTCATGCTCTGGGTTCAGTCGTCTATAGCAGACGCCCACCACAACATCACTCTTGTTGCTCTTGCCTCTAAACTTAACCCAAAGACTCTCAACAGGCTTTTCTCCAGTTTCATACCAAAGCTCTGAGCAATCATACTGCTCTCTTACATACATTGCAACCCCTCCACCTTTTCTCCCCTGCCTGTCCTTCCTGAACAGTTTATACCTATCCATGACAGTACTCCAGTCATGCGAGTTACCCCACCAAGTCTCTGTCTCCAGCTGATGGGGAGTTTAGATGTTAGCGCACTGCCTGGAGAAAAGCTCCCTCAGACTGATCTGAGGTATTTATTTTTACCAAATCTTTTATAGCTAACTCTAACTCTACAGTGACTCCTAGAGGGTCTGCAGAATAACCTCTACTGAGTCAGCATTTCTCCTCATTATCTCAAAACAGTTCTAGCCATAACAACAATATGTCAGGGGCACCTAAAACCAAGGCCGCTATTCACTCACTCTCTTCCAGAACTTTCTCTCCCATCTTCCCATTCTGATGAGCAAACTGCAAGTCTGCAGCTGTCTGACCTTGTCTCACAAAGGTCAAAGATTTTTCCTAGCTATGTGATGTTTGGTTTTCAGCCAGCAGTGGCTGCACATACAGAATGGCCGACTGCAGAATAGTCAAGTTCTGGGGTACAAGCAGGAAGGTCAAATTCCGGGGTAACATAACGTGTGTGTGTGTGTGTGTTGGCTTCCCCTTTGCTGTTTCTTCTCAGAGTCTGGGATTTTTTCTATCAAATAAACCTTTCATTTATTTTCACCCCGAGCCTGGCTCCGGTGTGCACGCCCTGGCATGTGTGCCAAAGTGAACTGGTAGCTGGGGGCTGGTTTCACTCCTCTGGGGGTGGTGCACCGAGCAGCTGGAACTTGGGTTGGAAGGATTTGGGGACACGCAGGCCCAGAAGGGATGTTGGTGTCACCTTGAAAGGAGTAACATGGCTGGTGGAAGCCAGGGGCAGATCTTTGGCTTGTGGGCCAGCGACTGGTCTCAGGGCTTTGAGCCACAGCAGCACGGCACTAAGGTTCCCAAAGTTACACGGCAGGTGGAGACAGAACCCCTCACCTGTCTGAGTGACCTCGGAAAGGTCACAAGTGGTGGGTTTGAAAAGGGGTTAAGCTCCGCAGGAACACGCCATTCTTGCGCCGAAATCAGAGCGTCCCCACATGGCTTTATTCAAGAATATCCATTGCACTTTAAATGCACGCCCTATCTTAAGCCACATTAATTTCCAAGTGTAAACAGGCCCCCATAAGAACATAAGAACGGCCAGACTGGGTCAGACCAAAGGTCCATCAAGCCCAGCATCCCATCCTCTGACAGTGGCCAATGGCAGGTGCCCCAGAGGGAATGAACAGACAGGTAATCATCAAGTGATCTATCCCCTGTCACCCAATCCCAGCTTCTGGCAAACAGAGGCTAGGGACATCATCCCTGTCCATCCTGGCTAATAGCCATTGATGGACCTGTCCTCCATGAATCTATCTAGCTCCCTTTTGAACCCCGTTATAGTATTGGCCCCACTGAATTTCAATGAGAATTAGGCTCCGAAGTTCCTAGGTCGCTATTGAGAATGGGATTTAGACTCCTAAATTTTACACTTGCTCTCTGTATCTTAATCCCCCATCTCTACAATGGGGATAATACTTAGGGTGACCATACGACCCATTTTGGCTGGGACAGTCTCTTTTTTAAGCCTGGTCCCGGCCGTCCTGACTTTTTTGGCAAAAGTGGGGTGTGGAGGAATGCGTGAGGGGGCGTGTGGCTTGGGCCAGCCCCACTCTCTCCAGCCTTTGGAGAGGGGCTCGGGTTAGCCCTGTGGGGGAGAGCTTGGACGAGCGGCTTGGGCCAGCCCCACACCGGGGAGCAGGAGGGCTCGAGCTAGCCCCACGCGGTGTCCCGTTTTCCCTTGGGGAAATAGGGTCACCCTAATAAGACTTCCCTACCTCACAGGGGTGCGTTTGGATAAATGCATTAAAGCCCATGAGGTGGTCAGATACTACAAGTAATGGGGACCAAAGGACCTTTGCTAGATCTTCTATCCTGCCCATTCGCTGGGAAATTTGACTGAGTGGACACAGGCAGAATGAAATCCAATGTCTGGAAACTGAACCCAGACAAATTCAGCCTAGAACCAGGCATAAAGTCTGAAGCAAGGGTAATTAACCACTGACAGCGTAGCGAATATAGGGCTGAGCCCACTAGGGGCACTCATGATAAAGTGGCAATTTTCAGTCATGTTTTTGTGATGCCCATGTATGCCTCAGTTTCCCCTCTGTTTTGCACTGCTCTCTGGAAGGGCAAAAGGGTGCTATTGGGACGACGCAGGAGATGTAAGGTGTGTGTGACCCCCTCACTGCCCGGGATGCAATGAACGGGACCCTTAAGGAAACCAATGGCCCAGAGGGAGGTGGGTTCCCACCCCCCACACACACCTCAGCAGGGAAGCTGAGCAGAAGCCCTACCTCAAGAACAAAGGGCCAGTGGCAGGCCGGGGAGAAGGAGTCGGCTTTTGGGAGAGGCTGAGCGGTGAGGACAGCGCCTGGAATGGAGCCCATAGAAGCTTGGCCGGTGATTTGCATTGGCTTGGCCAGAGGGACAATGTCTTAACCGTTATCTCCCTGTGCTGAGCCAAGGACTTCCCGAGGCTGAGTTCCTGTTCGCCAACAAACCCAACTGTTTTGGAAACGCCACCTGGTGTCACTGCAAATACTTGCTGAGGTGCGTAGACTCCAGCTGAGAGACTTTTCCCCTCTTCCCTGCTCCTGACGGAAGAAGCTACCCTGGAGCACTGAGGGGTTCCACAAAGGGACTGTTTAAAAGCTGGGATGTAGCCTTGGTCCTGTGGCTCCGGGACAGCACTCGCTGTGTTCTGTGGCAGTGTGGGAATAGCTAGGCCTAGCATGATTGTGTACAGCTTGACAACAACATAGTGTGGGAACTCCACTGTGCCAAGTTCCTGTCTTCCTATTGTGTTGTTGTGTAAAGAACAACGGACACAAGAGGAACAACTTGCCATGGGATGTAAAGTAGTGGATTCTGCATCACTGGATCAAAGCTAGCCAGGGTGTGTCTACACGTACTGCGAATACCCCTGCAGCCTAGTTCTACCTTTGGAATCTCTTAATCAAGATTGTGGGTATGTCTACATTGGCAACTAGACACCCACGGCTGGCCTGTTACTGCTGACTCGGGCTGCAGGCTGTTTCATTGTTTTGTAGACTTCCAGACTCGGCTTGAAGCCTGGGCTCTGGGACCCTCCCTCCTCACAGCAATGAAACCTCCCCGCAGCCCGAGCCCCACAAGCCAGAGTCAGCTGCCACGGGCCAGCAGCAGCGGGTGTCTAGTTGCTGTGCAGACATACCCTGGATGATTGTCGATAATGTTGCCCTGTAACTCAATCAGAAGTTTTGGGCTTGATGAAGGAATTACTTGGTGATGATCTCTGGCCTGTGATATGCATGAGGTCAGACTAGACTATGTTAGTACTGTATGCTTCTTCTGTATTTAACTATTGTGATTCTTTGACCAAAAAATTCTAGAATCTTTTCTGTGTTAAACCAAAATACTGTCTAAACTCTAGGGTGGCCAGGTGCCCAGTTTTAGTTGGGAAAGTCTGGTCAAAAAGGGGACCTGACAGTGTCTGGTCAGATCTACTGACTGGACACCCAAAGTCCAGTTACTGCAAGTCAGGGAGGCACTGGGTCATCATCTGTACCAGCCCTGGCTGCCTCCTACCTTCATAGAATATATGGGTTGGACGGGACCTCAGAAGATCATCAAGTCTAACTCCCTGCTCACAGCAGGACCAATCTCCAGACAGATTTTTGCCCCAGATCCCTAAGTATCCCCCTCAAGGATTGAGCTCACAACCCTGGGTTTAGCAAGCCAATGCTCAAACCACTGAGCTATCCCTCCCCCCAACTCTGACCTGCATCAGAATGCTGCAGCTCCCAGCTTCCGCTCCACAGGCAAATCCCTCCTGACCCGGGCGGGAGTAGGGAGTGGGAGGGGAAAAGCAGTGAGCGACAGGGGAGAGGGAGGAAGAACAGTGGACAGGGGCAGGGCCTCAGGGGCAGGGGCGGGGCTTTGGGGGGAATAGGTGGGATGGGGATGGGGCCGTGAGGGGGAAGAGGCGGGGCAAGGGAGGTTCCAGGACTCCTGCTGGAGTGTCCGGTTTTTAAATATTACCAATTCTAATGCCAAAGACTGTTTTGTTTTAGACTAATGGATGTCTGTAATTTAAAGTAGGACTGTATTTAACCATCTCATCTGCTTTTCCCCTGACCTAGTCCACATGCCTGTTACTTTCGATGTGTGTTGTAGTGGACGAGATGGTGTAATTGGTGAAGGATGGTTATAAATGACAACATGTAATTGATAAAACGCACAGGGCACATTTGGTACAGCAGACGTGTGCTATAATCAATGTCACAGCATTGAGTAATGTATTGACTGATGTCTGAGTCATTACGAGCTAATTATGGCTACAGATGGTCTCAGTACAGATACAATAGTTACAGCTGTGATTGGCTTATTGATTCGGTAAATTGATAATTTTCAAAATCAGATCAGAGCATGAGAGAGAAAGATCTTCAAGGATTTTCTTTCTCCAAAACCAGTATATAAGGCATGACTTGGGGGGGAGTTAGAAGCAAAGTGAAGTGAAACGTGATGCCTAATTTCTCCAGTCTCAGATTGGTATGTACATTTCCTTTCTGTATTCTGTATAGTGCTGTATCAAGTATTTGATTGACTCTCTTAAATGACACTTTAACCAAATTAGCTATTTAAATCCAAACGCGCCAGGAAATCTGTGAAAACCTTGTCTATTCGATTTGTGCATGAAATAGGTTAAAACAACCGAGGACAGGGCTGGTGATGTTGAACTGATTTTGCCACCCCCTCTCTGAAAACAACGGGGCATGAGTCTTGCAGATTCTCCAGCTCCGTGGCTTTCATTCATCCCTGCTATCAACTATTCCACTCTCTAGTTAGGGGACTTATGTGGCTGCTGTGAGTACGGGAGTGTCTCACAGTCTTCTAATGCTCTGATTCTGACAATTTCCCCTGTAAGGTAGGGCTGGGCTATTAACTTCATTTCACAAAACAGCAACCGAGGCACAGATCTTCAATGGTATTTAGGCACCGAGTTTCCCTTATGCTCAGTGGATCTGAGCCTAGGCTAAGACTGTAACCGCTGCACCATGCGTCCTCCCCAAGGGGCCCACTCCCCGCATCAGCGCCTCCCGATGACCAGCCTGTTATTCTTACCGGTGGGGACTCGGATGCAGCACCCTCTCTCATCTCGCACGGGTTCATCCTGCTCCACGTTGTACCGGATCAACTCAAAGGGCGCGAGCATCTGGAAAGCAACGGGGTGACAAAGACGGAAATCAGCTGGAAAAATAACGCCAGCGTCCCTCATGTGCCCATTATCAGGATCTGCCACCTTCCCTATCAATGGCTGCAATTCAGGAAAGTTGATGTGGGGAATACAGCGTGGAAGACTGCTTGAGTGGTGGAAAGTAACGGACAATTATAATGCCTAGCTGTCTCCGACTTACCGATACAACTATTGTTGTCGACCTTGGGATTCTAGTGTGAGAAAAACCTTTTCCCCGGGGTTTTCACGAGGAGGTGAGCTATTCTTTTATTTAATTTCATTTTATTACTTCTGAACCCTATTAGTGGCTAAATCCTTCAAAACTGATCTGATACTAGAATCTGGAATTATATTTCTGCACGAGGGCCACGGAGGTAGCCCCAAAATTAACCTCTGGCCCGCAGCGTTGAAAAACGGTTGGACCATGCTGGAAAAATACAATCCGCTTGGTAAGTGGATTGAAATCATTGCGTATTTAGGATGGACAAAGGCACTGGTTCGTTGGCAGGAGCTTGAGGGTCCGCCCACCGCTATCCCACACTGCTGTGCGTTTCGCCAGGATCGGCCTCTCTGCTTATCCATCTGCCTTCCCCTGCCCTGAGGTCTCATCGCCTGGATGTCACCTGCCTGTTCCAATGCTGGTGTGAAGCCAGGATACTCCTGGAGTTGTGCACCTCAGCATTGAGCAGCGTTGTTCACTATCGTGCAGCGCCTCGTGCCGCAGCATGGAGCTGTGCCGAGATCCTTGAACTCCTTGGCACTTGGGGAGAAGCAAAGGGGCAGAAATCACCGGCATAAAGAGGTGCTCGAAGCCCTCTCCAAGCAGATGACCCTTCTCAATTCTTCAGTGCCGCAAGGAGATCTTATTGGATGCTAGTTGCCCCGGCAATGACGCTTTCATGCCCCAGTGCTGAGCTAGAACATGGTCCCTTCCTTCTCGAGGGCTGGATTGCAAAGCTCCAAGGTTGAATCACCATCAGGCAGGGCTGTGGATGCAGCCTGCGCTGCATAGTATTGTTAGAGGAACCAACCAAGACTGTGCTGGACATTTAGTGAGAGACAATCTCTGCCCCAAAGAGCTCACCGTCCAATCAGACAAATGATGAGGTGAAAATAAGGATAATTTGGCATCTTTTTGTTCTAGGTTTGTACAGCGCCTTGCACAATAGGGCCAGGATCCATGGCTGGGGCTCTTAGGCTCTACCATAATACACCTAATAGATAAAGTACAGTGCCTAGCACAAGGAGGTCCATAACTGGGGGTCCTAGTGCTACCATAATATATCTAATAAATAATGTACAGCGTTGGGGGTGTGACGTTACCGACATAACCTGTGACCGTATAGATCATTGTTGCAACCACTGTTATATATTTTCAGCAAATATTGTACAAAGGTTGTTGTGTGATGTGTCTATGGAAAGGTTATGATTTGCTTATTATAATTATGCTATCTGTATGGGTGCGTCACTTTTGTAGTTGAAGTTATGAATATTGGCTATGTACTTGTATATCAATGTGTTTTGAGTCTAAGTAGCCTCAGTGAAGCATTTGGTCAGCTTCTTGAGAAAGGACTATTCTCAGTAAGTGCCCAGTCAATAAACACTTAGCTGACAATGGACTTTGGGAGACGTCAATCCACATCTGAGCTTTCCTGGGAACGTTCAAACTAACATGTAGACAATGGCATCGGCCTGTAAAGAACTGAGTCATGCATGGACATGTGACTTGCCCATGTGACTCCAAACTCCATCTTGCTGTGATCTTGCACAGGAGAACCAAGGGTTTCCACCCACAAGAGAAAGAATATAAAAAGCAGCTGCATCTCCTCCATCTTGTCTTCAATCCTGTTTCTTGCCTCTGGAGGGACTTTGCTACAAACTGAAGCTCTGAACAAAGGACTGAATGACCCATCCCAGCTGTGGATGAACTCCAGAGACTTGATTTGAACCTGCAATTTATTCCATCACTGCTACAAGCCTGAACCAAGAACTTTGCCATTACTGTATGTCATTGATTCCATTTAACCAATTCTAGTCTCATCTTTATCTTTTTCCTTTTATGAATAAACCTTTAGATTTTAGATTCTAAGGGATTGGCAACAGCGTGATTTGTGGGTAAGATCTGATTTGTATATTGACCTGGGTCTGGGGCTTGGGCCTTTGGGATCAGGAGAACCTTTTTCTTTTACTGGGGTATTGGTTTTCATAACCATTCGTCCCCATAATGAGTGGCACTGGTGGTGCTACTGGGAAACTGGAGTGTCTAAGGGAATTGCTTGTGTGACTTCTGGATAGCCAGTGGGGTAAAACCAAAGTTCTCTCTGTCTGGCGTGCAGGAGAACCCCTCCGCTGGTGCAGGGAGTGTCCACTCTGAAGCGTTGCAGCGGCAGTGTTTCAAATGTAGCCAAGCCAATCTGACCTGCTGTATAACAAAGGCCAGAGAATTTCTCCTGATTGTCCCTGTCCTGAACAATACAACTCATGTTTGGCTAACAGCTCTTCCAGAAGGCAGACAGTCTTGCCTTTTCCCACTAGGTTAAAGAGTCTGGTGTCTCCTATCCATGAAGATACTTCTTCACCACTCAGTCTTCTTTCTGATAAGCTAAATAGATTGGGGTCCTTAAGGCCTTTCACTTTCAATCCCCAAGCCTCCCAGGGCCTAACCTAACCGGACTCTTTCTGATGCACCAACACTTTTCACAGTCTGTGGGGGTGAAATATCAACATAACCTCACATCCCGGGGGAAATGGATGCAGGAATCTGTTTCATCTCAGTGTTGTTGATGAACCACAGTAAGAGAGGCCAAATGGCTAGAGAGACCCTCATCATCTGTGCTCAGCCTCCACACCTGTCCCAGCTGGGGAAGAAACCGGTAATGGGCACTAGGGAAATGACCACCATGGTAGGGGAGAGGCAGAGTAGCATTCCTCACCTTATAGATGAAGTTGGCCCTTCCCACCGCTCCAATCTTCCCCGTGTAGTTAACGAACCCAGTGTTCCCCTCTGTGGCCCCGTAGAACTCGCAGATGCAGATGGGCCCAAAGCGCTGGAGGAATTCCTTCCAGACCTCCACCCTCAGGCCGTTACCCACAGCCAGCCGCACTTTGTGCTCTCGTTCGTTCTCCCTCTGCAAGGCAAACAGGGCAAGGGTCCAGGAGTGGCACAGAGAGGAGGCCAGGTCTCACCCTGGGTCTCACGCTAGTTCAGGGATCTACCAAGGTGCCCAGGCACCCTATATGCATCCATGTTGTGCTGTAAGGAGTCAGTGGCAGCCATCCAGGGAGTGGGCGCTGAGCATCCGCTTTCAAGATCAAAAGAAGGAGCAACCCAGCCCCTTTATGTGGTAATAACAGCTGTCGGGCAACCACCCAAGGCAGCAGGCCACGTGGCGGGGCAGAGCTAGGACGTGAGACCATGAGGGGGAGGTTCCCTGATTGCAAACGTGGGGGCTGGGCTGTGGGAGCAAAAAACCAGGAGGAAGAGAGCGAGTGTGACTCTGGGATAAAGCAGGGACGGAGCTTCTTGGGCACAGAGCCTGCTGGAGGGGCAGACATGGGGATCTTGCAGCCAGGAAGCTGCCTTCTGCTGTTTGTTCTCACAGCACTCAGGGAAACAGGACTTGGTAAGTTTGTTTGGGGGTGGGGGGTGGGTTGGTGAATAAAGAAGATCATACTGAGAATATCCCTGACTCGCCTCATTGATTTATCATCCTCGTGGAAACACCCCGGTAAGACCCTGGACTGTGGCTAAAGAAGCAACAGTGCCACAGAAACCCTATTTTGAGGCCAACACAAGCCAGAGCTCCAGGGTGCTGCATAGGACAAGGGACCTTGGCTAGGAACATAGAGGGTGAAATCTCCCCGGGCACATGTGACATTTACCCTCTTGGCTGACACACCAGAGACTGAACCAGCGACCTCAGCACTAAAACCAGGAGCTGCTACAGCTTAAAATTGTAACAGACTCATAGCCATTGTAGGTTGGCATGGGAGGCGGGATTTGTAACATAGACTCACCAGTGGGTGATACAAAGAACTGCCACCATAAGGCATCGATACCCCTTAAACCACTATTTTGACCATTCAGGTGGGACATACGTGGGGCGTGTCCATCTATGCCTGATCTACAGCGGGCCTATTACAGCTTCCAGAGTCTGGCCCCTTTCGCTCAAGCTCTGGGGGACCCTGATTTTTAGCTCTGCAAATTCCCAGTGGAGTTGGTTGAAAAATGTTCCTTTGTTTCCTGTTGGAAAAATGGCAAAAAAAAATGTGACAACTGAAAAATTTCAGTGCAAGCCCAAATACTTCAGTTCTGAAATTCCGCTGGGGTGTGTGATGCCATCCCATAAGGCTTTATGGAAATATGCTTAGAATGTGTTTTATGCTACATATGCCAGGTAACATATCTCAAAAGTTATGATCTACTGAATGTATTAATCCTATTTGTGTGCATGTATCATTTTTGTATTCAAAGTTATGAATGTTATGAATGTTGGCTGCGTACTGCCTTGATTTCTAAATAACCTTAGGTTTCACAGTAGTAGCCGTGTTAGTCTGTATCCGCAAAAAGAACAGGAGTACTTGTGGCACCTTAGAGACTAACAAATTTATTAGAGCATAAGCTTTCGTGGACTACAGCCCACTTCTTCGGATGCATATAGAGTGGAACATATATTGAGGAGATATATATACACACATACAGAGAGCATGAACAGGTGGGAGTTGTCTTACCAACTCTGGGACTGGGAATGGCTGAGCCATTACAAACATTGAATCTATCTCCCCTTGTAAGTATTCTCACACTTCTTATCAAACTGTCTGTACTGGGCTAGCTTGATTATCACTTCAAAAGTTTTTTTCTCTTACTTAATTGGCCTCTCAGAGTTGGTAAGACAACTCCCACCTGTTCATGCTCTCTGTATGTGTGTGTGTGTGTGTGTGTGTGTGTG